CCTTTAACTTATATGAAAAGCGCACAATACACGAATGAGATGAGATGGGCCCTCTACCTTCAATCCTTTTCTTATCGAATAATAGCCATTAAAGGGAGTCATAACGTAGGAGCAGACTATCTAAGTAGAACTGTGTCAGACTAAAGGTAATAAATAGATGGGTTATATGAATAAAATTTAGTAAAAATTATATTAGAAGATGTTACATGAATTGTTGGGGTTTCGGGTATAGACAAGTACAAATGATGTTATATTTTCATGACTGTGTTTAGGTGTGATCATGTGATGTTCACAGCTCAGCATGGGGTGTGTCACAGGGTTCGTCAGAAAATTTATCACAATTGGTCTATTCTGTTTATCTATATATGTCCAGCCTCTAAACAGTGTGTTTAATACAGCCATGTAGGAAGATGTTTGTGACTTTGCGGTCAGGACGTCACGATGCCACCTAGGCATGCTCCTGTCAGAACATTGTAGTTATAAACGCGTGTTTATTGAAAACAGCGTATTTGCAAAAACGTGAGAATTACTACCGAACAGTATCGCTGACTTGGCTGAATCATTGTAACATTGTGAATCATTGGCGAATTGTATAGGAAACTAACTTGACTGAATTACTGCCAGATTGGAGACATGAGGTCACTGACCTGACTACTGGAACAAAGGATAGAAATAACCTTTGTCCCCACTCCTGCACTCCTCCTGGAGAAACCCCAGTGGAATTGGGAGCACATGTAGAGGCAGTCTTCCCTTGGCGACCGAGGTGTGAGCAGGTTGTGGTCATGGTCTCTCCCTGCAAGTTGTGAAGAGATTCGGGCCATGCTGCGTGAAGACTGACCAAAAGAGTTCTACTAGGCCGATAATGGAAGCTACTAGGTTGAATGTTATTCAGCACGAACAATCCTGTCCGTGAAGGACACCACCCAGTACCCGTGATTGTGGGTTCTTCTTTGTACCCATCACAAACAGGGCCACATGGGACCTCTCGATAAATAATGTCAATGATAGAGACAGAATTTCCTGCACCTATATACTCCTGGACCAGTTATACAACTGCGCTCGTCGTTGGATAAGCTGGTACTAAGTAAACCACAAGTTTAACTTTAAAAAAAAACAAAAAAAGCAAACGAAGAACTAACTTTTGGCAATATTTGTCCAAGAATTGTTAGTAATATCCTGTCTAGTATCTGTCATCTAAGTTCTTTTGTCACTTTTTGCAACGATTTATAAATTGGGTTTATAATTTTAGCAAGCAATGATTAGAATTACAATAGGTAATTAAAGTCGTGTACCCTTCACTCGAAGATAATATTTGATGTAGTACGTGAGTACCATTCATCGCTCATTCGCCAGTTATAAATTGATATAAGTATTATTAGATATAAATTTGACGCTATTCAGCGTGGATATGTGTACATTTTATATGATTGTTTGTCTAGAAAGTGGTATGTTTTTTTTATTTCTGTTAATTACATGATGTAGTATGTCGCTTGCGTCGTGTTTTATGCAAGTGATCTCATTATCATTCATACAAAGCTGAACTATTGTTGTATTCATGCAAAATACACATACAAAGTAAACAAAATTGTTTCCTTTTGGGATTTGTTAAAAGTTAGTCTGAATGTATAAATTTGGTGACGCTCTATGTAATTGGTAGTAGGAATTGTAAAGCCAGTAATAAAATGTCTACAAAATGGTGGCAACTCTTTTGCGAATATGATGCGTTTGGCTGAAGAATAAGTAAACATATACAGCCGCGATTTGAAGAGAGTTTAGGTGGAGTTACCCAATAAAAATCCTCGCTACAGATGTTTTGACTAAGGTTATGCCGCAATGCGCTCATAATTGCGAGAAGTCAAATTGTATGACACGCTTTGACATATCCGAGATGTTTGTTGGCATGATACAAGGTAAATCAGAATATACCAAAGCTCACAATAATTTAAACAATTTTTTTAGATATGACGCACGGAATATTGATAACTTAAATGTAATACATTACACATGAATAAATTAGTTATTTCACGATAAATTATGCTTTTCTCGTATTTCAAATTTACGTGTTTTGTAACTTCACCGCTCGCCCAGAGTCGATCATTTTCACGGCGGTAGGACTGTTATGTATGTATCGTATAGATTTTAGACTACGACAGTGTATCGCACATTTTTTTCAAATTGGTCTTTTTCCAATGGTTGGAAGATTCAAATATTTTCGTCGAAAATGAGGATGCAATACGAAGTTTCTCGTGTCTCAAGTAATTCACAATGGCGGCGTCCCAAATGAAAAAATTATAATTGTGTTATCCTTGGAATCTGGAGCCCCTCAACCGACAAATTCGTAATCAGCACTCCAAAGAAGCTCAGTATTATATATTTCAATATTTGTAGACTTAGAATTAACATGTATATCAATTGGATCGTACATTGCCGTCCAGGTTACTCACCACTGCATTCTACACTACATTCTTTGTAGTCAAACGGCGGGTAATCGCACGGTGGTTCAAGGCATTCCCGGGACCTATAATTATAACCAGTCATATATCCATCGACACAGTCAAAACTAGGAAAACATCCATACCAATCAGTCCATTCTCCCCATTTGCTGTTGTCTAATAACAATGAAAGGTAAAGTACACATCTTTTGGGAATGACTGTGAATTCATCCAGAGTACAATTGTAAACTAGTAATTCTAATACTATTATACATCAATTATGAAAAACATTTGTATATGCTACCTACCATTCGGACAACATACGCCCCATTCTACTTGTAAAACAGTGTCGTTAAAAAGATGACAGCTGTAGCTAGCGGGGCAATCTGTGATTACCATATATGGGAAGAAGTCAGATATATAATCTGGCAGATTGCAGAATAGGGTTTCACCATGGTCATTGTAAAGCGGCGATCCTATTGGACACGTTGTTTCTGTGTGGATGAGTCGTAAAACAATTGTAATTAACAATTGAGGCAGTATCAATGACATATCAGTCACATGCACGAATCGCGGTGCTGTTGATCAGTAAAGTTAGGGATTTCGAGCTGAATTGAAAATTATATGTCATGCTCGTCATATGTCATAATACCATCTGAATCCGTAAAGAAAAAAAAATAATTTCTATAAAGATGTATTGGTGAAATGGGGAGAAAAATAGAATTGATATGAATCTTAATAATATGAAAATAATTAAAAAAATGACATCATTTAGTCAGTTTGCAGTATCATAATAATTCCCCAGTTTATTCATTTAGAAATTTGTTCCCATAATGCACTGCAACTTTCAACATGATTACTATTCGTAGAATTGAAGTAATATTAGGATAATTAGATGGATACTTACTACATTCATTTTTGTCACAATCATCATTCAGTCCACAATAGGCGCCAGGACAATACAAAAATCCTTCCATGCAAACACTAAAAATAAACACAGTTCCATATTAAGAGTCATCGAGCATTTCATGGAAATGAAAGTAGTTTGGTCTTCTACTGAGTATATCTCAAACTTACCACCCGTTGCATTCGTCGTCATATCTTACTGTGTAATTACGAAGCTTATAGGTGTCTACATCACATACATCTGAAATTAGAAAGTAACATATATTATTACTAAACCGTTTTTTTTAAATAAATGATTTTTTACAGTATTTAGTATTTACCTCACGATTCATAATACTTGGTACATGTATGTTATACGTGCATTTCAACAGACATGAACAGATCCTTTTACAAGTCAAGTTTGTCTATGGTGGTCTGTCTGCGAATATAAACAATGGCAAGCAAACACTGTGTATAACCTGTGTTAGCTAAACAAAACTTTTCAACAGTAAACTAACTTGACTTGCTATAATTAACCAAACCTATTATGCTTTTTTTGAGTCATTGTATCCTATGGTGTACATAAACATGGACTGACTAATGTAACCTCACTACACCCTGTATTTGTATTTGTCATCATAACATTACATACCATGCAATGAGACGAAAATATGACGGACCTTCATATTCCATCATTGATTTAAGGACAAATTGCGTTATGGTGATATTTTTTTATTATTTTATTTTTATTTTCACTGGAAACGCTGCTTCGTGTCGGATAAAGTTTATTTGCTGTTGGGGTGAAAAAGAATTTGTTAATAAGTGGGTAGTACTAAGTTCTGTAAAACATCTCACCACTGCAGTTAATAAGACAGTCGTTCATGTCGATTGTGCTGCCGTAGCAAGGTCCCCCAGTACAAATCCTACTCCTGTAGTTTGCACCCAACCTGTATCCATCTGTACAGTTGTTTTCTATCGGTATACATCCATACCAATCTGACCATTCTCCCCATGTGCCGTTACCTATTCACAATAAAAGATTTTATGCAATAACGACAAATTGCAACCATCTACGTTTATTAACATGTCACAGCCAGTAAATGTCTACAAATACAATGCAACTGTGTTATATCAGAGACACTAGAAAACAAGGCACATGCAACTGAAAGCAAAGTAACGGAAGTTCCGTGCAACGTTGGGGATTCTCTATGAAAACAGATATTTGACGTCGTGAATGAATGGCGTGGGAGTGGCCGAGGCAGGAATCGATTTTGTCTACGTTGTTTGTGGGAGGACCCTTTTTCAGGCAAATTTCCCTTTTAATAAACGTTTAATTAAACTTTTCTGTTAGTATAGTTCATAAAATTTGCTGATTTCATATTTGTGTTATAAAATTCTACTTGAACAAATTGTGACTTCTAATGAATTGGTTCCATTAAACGGATTCCAACAGACGCTACATCACAGAAAACACTGAGTTGCATGTCCCTCTTTTCTTTAGTCTTTGGTTCTTTGGTTAATTTCAAGTTCATTTATACAAAACAAAATTATGTATTGCATTAATAAGCATCGTCGTTTTGGAGCACTCACTTCGCGGATATTACGGTGGTAGGTGTTTAGGGTCCAGTGTGACTCAGAGGTAAGTGAGCAACACTTAGGTAGGCGATTAATTCATGCCTAGAGAGGCATGTGTGTAATTAGTCATTATAGTACATATTGTCATGCTATGCAGCCCATATAGAAAATGTCAGGACAAGCATACAAAAAATGACTCGAAAATATATACCCTAATATAATTTATATCCTTGTCAGCACAGCTTACAAAAAACGTCAGTTAAGAACGGAGACGGTTGGGCAATTTATAACAAACGTTTTCAAAAAAATGTTTATACACATTGCATGAACTCGTTTAGCGAAGTACTGATGGCAGTTTAAAAAAAAGGTAACTGTCACTGATTAATGATGATGCGAAGGGATTTAATAACTGACCGATGGGAAGTGTAGTATGCTGGTGAATGTGCCACCTGTATGATTTGAAAATAATAGGTCACCTAGTTGTGCATTTTTTACTAGCAATGACACAATAATGGACGCAATAGCAAGTTTCATGAATAAAAATGATCTGATTGTTTTGGTCCCATCCAAATCTGACCAATAGATGTTTACTGAGAGATCCTTTGGGAATTACTCGTGAATCGTCATAATGCGTACCAAGGTTAAATATTATCAATGACGCTAGTAAATTCTTAGTTTATAATTCCATTGAATAATTGTATCCGACACGAAAAAGTACAAAAACATGAAATGAATCTATAAAACGAGTTAAAACATTCAAGTTGCTGGACCCGTTTTTAGTTTGCGCTATCGAAATTTCACTCGCCGCCATTTCTTAATATATCATTCACAGTGTAACGAGTGGCCATGCGTTTGAAGGAGATAAATGCTTGAAAAAAATGATTGTGCTGTTTGGAGAAAAAATCAACATTAGCCAGATTCACCGACATCATCGATGCAAATATATACACGACCTGTATATACGAGACGCGTTTTGGATGCTGTATATAATCAAACAAATCAAGGTATATTTTGTGTATAACATTACATGAACAACATTTATAACAACGTTAGCTGAAACTAATATGAAGATGCAATTAATGAATATGCATCAGTTTGTGTAATAAAAAACAAAACAGTAGTACTCTACCTAAACACCTGTATCCTAATCCGTCAACAAAACCATTCATCACACAGTTGTCAGTTGAACCGCAGTTGAGCGGGCACGGGTCTATAACAGAATTGAAAAAAAAATATATGTAATGTACTCAATTTCAGACGAAAGTGTTATTTTTAAAAAGGATATGTCACTCAACGTTCTTCGATTATGTTTACATTTATATCACTGACCATATACTTCGTAGACGTCGTATGAATCTGATGTACCAAGACCCTCGACGCATTTGTCAGATGGACCTTCTTCCTGATACGACGACTCACTCGTTGCTACCAAGCACTCACCACCAAACCGCATGGCGAAATACGGATATCCCAGTGAAACGGCAGCGAAAGCGCATTTCTGAATGGGATATAGTGAAAACGCGTGTTATGCAATTCCTAGGCTTACGTTTGCGGATTAGAAGATTTCGAGACATTGGAAAAATTCGTTTTTTAGCTGATTGTTACACTGACACGTGAAAACATGTAGTTAGTGTTAATACACAACATCTTCCACTTACTCTGACTGGTTCAGTCCTCATCGAGTAGTGACCGTCAAGATAAACATTTCCAGTGTTTTCTAATGACTCCAGTAATTGGGGCAAGTTTATATCAAACCAACACCCTTTGTATACATAGTCTGAAATAATGAGCATATATAATTGTAAATACAATGATGTTATTGCTACACATTTAACACGCGGACACCACGACTGCGACAGACTGTGACTCAAACAATTAGTTACAACATAGATATATACGAAATACTCGCCTATATCGAGGGGACATTCAAACATCATGCAAACACGTTGCTGAACATCG